CTTTCAGAAGCTCGAGGGAGCAGATGTGTCCTATCCTGTCCCCTGGCATCCAAGCACACACAGGCAAGCTGATTGGATGCTTCCCTCTGCCTGTGTCTTTAAATCTGGAGAGAAGGATGAGGGTCCAGCTGAGGCGGGGTGTGTCTAGTGAACCACAGGAGTGGCCCTGGTGCCATATGCCAGACCATGCCCGGGGTGGTGTGGCCATGCCTGAGCTCCTGCCCCCTTGTTCCCGTTGGCTGATGCTCTGGTGCTCCTGTCACCTCAGTGAGCTCCCAGTTTTCCTTTTCACAAATGTCTACTGAAATTGGAGTCATTATCTGTTTTTGGCAACTTAGAACATCAGCTGAGTAGCACTTCATTTATCCCAAAGTGTCCTTTCTCCTTTTTTCTGAGTCTCAAAGCCCTTGGTCATATGTTCCAAGTTGGGTCTCTAATCTTAACTATCTTGAGGAAACTATTATTTATTAATATTATTATTATTATTTTCAAGAAGACTTCTCTCCATTTGTTTGCTCTGTAAAAATGTGTTTGAGTGCGTGGATGAATAAGTGGCAGCGTGGCTGAGTATGTGTTAAGAGTTATCTTTTTGAGGCATAACAAATGTGGCTGAAAACAATAAACCCTTATTATCTCACAGAGTTTCCAGGGGTCAGGACTGGGAGTGGCTCAGCTGGCTGGTCACATGGCTGGTTGCAGTCGGGATGCGGTAGACCTAGAGAATCTACTACCAAGACAGGTCATCCCCATGGTTGGCAAGGGTGAGTGCTGGCGATTGGCAGAAGCCCTCTGTTTCCATCTGTGTGGATCTCTTTGTTAGGCTACTTATGACATGGCAGCTCACTCCCCAAGAATCAGTAAACCAAGAGGGAGCAAAGCAGAAGTCTTTTGTGATCCAGCCTCTGATGTCACACTTCTTTGTGGTTGTAACATCCTGTGGAGGATGCAAGATAGGGAGGACTGTCTAAGGTCATGAATGCCAGCGTGGGGCCATCTTGGAGGCTGTGTGTCACAGCAAGCCTTATAGAGTCAGCCAGCAATGGATTTGCACCATCAAATCCTACCGTAGTCAGAGATAACAGAAGAAGCTGAAAAATGATGTTAGCCAAGCTGTCTCTCAAGATTAAAACTGGGGAGGTCTGTCTAATTCGGTAGGTCTTACTGAGAGGGAGAGTGAAGCAGAACTAGTGACCACCCCGGACCCCAGTTTTCTGTCTAGATTTCTGATAAGCTTGGACATAGGATGGGAGAGCGAGCTGGGCACCAGTGGGAGACTTGGGTCAGAAGGGCCCTCATCCAAGGGCTCTCACTCATACAAACTTTGCTCATGATTTATTCCTCTTGTTTGACTCTAGGGAGGGGAAATGGGTTAATTAATATCCTCCAAAATTCATGTGTCTTTATAAGAGATGACGGAGAGACATAGAAGAAGAGCAAAAGGGAAGATGGAGGCCGAGATAAGAGTGACCCTCTACCAGCCAAGAAGGACTAAGGACAGCTGGTGGCCACCTGAAGCCAGGAGAGAAACACTCAGAGCCTTCAGAAAGCACCAACCCTCACCGACACTCCGATTTCATGCTCTGGACTCCTCAATTGTGGGAGAATAGATTTCCGTTATTTAAAATCATTTGGTTTTTGGTCATTTGCTGTGACAGCCTTAGGAAACTGATGGAGAATAAAAATAAAATCTTGGAAATATCTTCCAAGACTGGCCATGGTTCAGATGGAAAGTTGGGAACAGGGCTTAAGATGGGTGCTCTGGAGGAGGCAGGATTTTTCAATAACTTGGAAAGCCTCAGGACATCTTGGTCACTTTGGGCTTAGGACCTTTCCTGCCCCATCCTGCTCCCAGCCAACAGTGGTGCCTGCAAGGTGAGACCTCTGAGAGTGCTGATGCTTTGGAAATGGGGGGGTGGCAGCTTAGCACTGGCTGGCTCCATCCAAAATGGTAGAGTGGCAAGATTGGATGGGTCCTATTTAATGGCGCACTCACTGACTTCATCAATGAACTATTCATTTGTTAACTAAATTAATCAACTACATGATTAATTCAGGTTGAGTTTGAGCAAGGCTGTGGTATTTATTTCTTTCCTTTCTTTATGGAGTCTATTCCTACACTCCAGCCAGGGTCCCTGTAGCCCCTTCGATGCAGTTGAGGAATCTGCTATGCTTGTTCACACCAACTTAATCATATTATTACTATCATCTAAAGGATCTCTCCTTAGAGGTACTTATGCTCTAAAAGTAGGATCTGGGAAGCTCAGTTATAGCGTTAATGCTGGGCATTTTCCTTTCCTCATGGCTAGGATTGGATTTTCTATGTCCAAAGCTCATCCCAGAGCAGAGAGGACTTAGTTCTTCTCTGAATTGTGACAAGCTAAGGGATCTGGCTTCTTGGAACACTATGAGATGGAACAGGGATGGCATTGGGGATAGGGAAACTGAAGGAATCTCTGGAAGCTTCCCTTGGGCAGTTTCCCTTCCAGTTCCCTAGGAGTGAAGAGGTGGGGACAACAGGGGTCCCTTAGCCCAGAGCTTCTTCCTGGGGATGGAATTGACTTTGAGAGGGGCCATGATATCTCCAGTCCCTTCCTGTGGGACTCTTTAATGCCAATCTGAACAGTCTGAAAATAGAATCCCTGGGACCCCTCCCCATTACCATTATTATAATAAACTCCAGGACTGTAGCCGCAGAGTCCCAGGCTTCAGGAAAGCAGCCTGTAATTACCTCGCTTCTAAATGCTCATGGTAATGGACGATGAGACCTCATGAGACCTCAATTTCACAGACCAGTGAAATTGCTGTGCGCCTGGGCCGCAATTTAACTCGGCAGATGACATGCTCCAACTTGGCAAACGGAGCGAATGTGAGCCATTTGGGAATTGTTAACTTTTAGGATAACCTGAAAATTGCCGGAGAAGCCTCTGAAAGAGAGGAGTTAGAGCCGTCGAATCTCGGACCATGAGCGGATGGCCTATGACCACCTCACCACTGTGGCTCACCTGAATTGGTGTTAGAAGGCAGCAGGGGTGGGTGTGAGGGTGACTAGGTGGATGTGAGGTTGAGTGGGGTGCTCCACCAGGACCACACACTCTGCACCAGGCACCCTGATGAGTCCTGGATGTTGGGTGCTGGGGTAAAGGACTCTGGAGACGAGGTCATGTCCGCTCTCTGTCCTCCAGGAGTTTGAGTCCAGCAGGAGTGGATCTACACATCTTCATTTCACAGGTCACATGGAGAAAAGACCTGGAGAGATATAAAGTGAGGATCTGGGGCTCAGTGGTGACTGATAATCTTGGCACAAGGAATGGGGGGATTATGGAAGGTGTAATAGAAGTGATTTCGAAATTGGCCATTGAAGAATGCAAAGGATTTGAGCAGGCTGGAGAGAAAGGTTAAGGGATGACCACACACACCTGGCTCAGGCAGGGAGAGACAGGCTGTGAGCAGGGTGGTTAGGTGGCTAGCTGAGAGAGCAGGTGAAAGGGAGGCAGAAAATGAGAGGGGCATCAGAAGGTCCGCTTGATCTGGGCTGTGAGGCCAGAATCACTGCTGTCTCAAGGAAATGAGTCCAGGGAATGTACTCGGGCAGGCCCTCTCTGTCAGGGCCCTGCCACCATCCTCAACTCCTGCCTCAGCTGTGACTGAACATAAGCTGGTCAGGCTGTGGTCTGGCATGTTGGGCAAGGGCCTGCAGTAGCAGAAGGAGAGTGTTGGAAACGAGATGGATGGCTCCAGAGCTCCCAGGCACTCGCTTCCACTCTCCTCTCCCAGCTATGTCCTTGAAGAGGGACTGGGTCTCTGCATGTCATTCCTACCCATGGTGCCATTCTCTCCTCTCCTTCTACTCCCATCTCCAAGCTTGTATTCTGAAAGGGTCAGCCCCAGCTCCAGAGAACTTGACCCTGGGGTGAAGACCCAGCAGCAGGGAGGTCTGCAGGCGGACTGCAGCTGGCCATGCTCAGGTTTGGGCCAGAGTGCTTCCTGGGGCCCAATTTGTTGGCCAGCAACAGATATGTGATGTGGCACTTCCAACCACCCCAGGGATGGGCTGCTGTCCCTCCTCTGAGGGACCAAAGGACTCTCATTGACCTCACATCCATTGTCTTTTCTGCCTTCTCCTGCTGTGTTTCTTTCATTCATCAGGCCGCGATTGCTTCCAGAGTTCCTTATACATTTGTTATGAATCTTTATTTCCAGATTAGTCACCATGCACACAAAATGGAGCGTCCCTGATTTGAGGAGCAAAAACAGTGATTACTAGATTGGTTCTCTCTTGCAGAAT